CCCCACCTCACCCCACCTCGCCCGGCCGTACCCTGCCCCGCCCCGCCGGTATCGCGCCCGGCGCAGCGGAGCGGGCTGTCACCCAGCCACTCGGCGCAGCCCGGGCCGCACGCCAAGGCCCTCCTCCGCGTCTCTGCGAGCTTGTTGTGATTCAGCGCGCAAGCGGTGGTGCACCACCGCCGGGGACCGGAGGGGGTCGGAGGGGGCCGGGGGCGGGGGCCGGAGTGTGGGGGCCGAGATGATATCCCTCGCTGCGCGCGCGCGCGTCATTGTGTGTGTATGTGACATTGCGTGTGTGTGTACGTGTTGTGACTGTGTGAGTGTGTGTGTGTGTGTGTGCAGCAAGCCAGCATCGAGCCCCCCTATCCCTATCCGCTCGGAATAAGCCACCAGCGAATTTTCCGAGACGTAGGGCGGGGCGCTCCGCTCCTCGGCGAGGCGACTGCCCCCCCGACATGTCCTATGGGCTATACGTGTAGCGACGGGGCGTGGGCGTGGTGCGGGGCAGAGGGGGGGGGTGCGAACACGTCGACCCCGTCACCATCCTCGCCGCCGGAGACCCTCCCTTCCTGTCTAGTGTTTACTCACCTTCTTACCGGCACCTACGAGAGATAAGGGGGGGGGGGTGTATATGCGTGTGTTTGTTTGTTTGAATCTGAGTTTCAGTTTGGTTTTATTGCCACATTACATTTACATGTTATGGAGAAAATAAAAAATCATAAAATATAATAAAGACATGACGATGGCTCTGTGACTTTTGATTTCCTTTTAATTTTTGATACTTTTAGGGTATTTCTGTCTGGTAGTAGATGGGTTACAATTTGTCTTGTGTTGTGTTCGTTGTCTATAACCTACCTACAGTTAAAAATTTTCTTCATTTCTTTTAACACTTTTGCAGAGGTGATAGTGGATATACATTTGCTGGCGGGGTCATAATTTTTGCTTGTTTAAGAAGTAGTTTCTAGTTTTCGTGGCTCCTTCCAACTTGGAAGACATTTCTGAGTGCTTCTTTAAAAAGTTTGATGGTGTCTTCCAGCGTAGAAGAGTCACTCCGGTACAGCAGATTAGGCCTACATAGCTTCGATGCGAGTGAAATAGTGCATAGTAGTAGGGTAGTGTTGCTGTTTTAATAGTTCTTACTATTTCTTTTATCCTTCTAATGCCAAATTAAAGAGTTTAATTTGGTTTTAATACAGGGTGATGGATCTGCTTCGTCCTTTTTACTGGTTATACGCTGTACTGGATTCAGGCCTAACATACGGCATGCGGCTCCGTGCGCGTATGCAACCTGCCCGCACACCTGAATCCGGTACAGTATAACTAGAAAAAAAGAATGGCGCGGATCACACAACCTGTACATATATTCTCCGTGCTTGTTGCTTGTTCCATCTAAAAAATTCCGGGAAAGGGGGGGATCAGAGAGTCAGGAAAAAAGGAAAGGGGGGGGGGAGAAGGGGTATAGCACTGCCAAGAGCTGAACCGAGCGTCAGCAGGCCCGATTAAGTGGAAAAATAAATAAGAGAAACTCCGTGGCCTTACCGTTCCCTTGCGGCGGGGTCCGGTCCCCAGGTCTGCTGCCTCTCCCTCCCCCCCACCCCTCACTCCCTCCCTATCTCTCCATTCCCTCTCTACCCCTCGCTTTTCGCTTTTTCGCGGCCTTGGCAGTGGCTCGCCGCGCTTCAACGGTGTCGAGCGGAGCGGTGGCAGCAGTAAGCGGCTGATGCGGACGCGGTGCAGATGCCACGGGTGTTTTTTAAAACGAAAAAGGAAAAGTGTAAGATACATCCACAATTTGAAGGAAACTCAGATTTTGAGGAAGAGTCTCCTCAAAAAATGAGGGAAATTCTTTAAAAATCAAGAATTGATCTTGAAAGCAGATGAAGATGATGCC